CACCAGACCAATCATATTATCACTTTATCCAAACTTATAAGAATTTGCAAGCTATGTATCAAAGAACAAACCACTACCAACCATATCTGTACAATCACTAAAATTATTGATTCACTCATCAATAAACACAATATACTATCATCTCTATCACTATCAATCTAAAATGTTAACAAAAAAACTCTCACAGAATGGTTGACTAACCTAAAAGCACACCTTCTAATAGTTAAAACCACCTAGAAAAAACTCATTTTCGAACAACACAAAATTAAAATTAATCAATACATTTTTCACAGACAACAAATGCTCAACAATAACAAGAAAGCAATGATTTGCAGCATCCACAATCAACCACAAAGACATATCACCCTTGATAAACTCATAATATACAATCTGGAATCAACAGTCATCACAGATCCCACTCAAATCAAAATGATTACCAAGAATCACTTCAGCACATGGATGAAAACTAGAAAAGTTAAACCACTCTTCCAATACTTACCTGGACACAAGAGTACAAATTAAAACCATATATCTCAACATACTGGTACAATGTTTTCCTTAAACCAATCAAATTTCAGAAACTTAAAGAAACCATCTTATCCAGATCCAACATATTAGTACCAGAACCAATAGAAATCCCATATATAGCTTTCAAAAAAATGTTCCAACCTACATTACAATTCCTATTAAATCTTTTTAATAATATAATAATATCATCCTATACTTCAAAAGAATGAAAACAAGAATCCATATATTCCATTCCAAAATCCAAAGACTGGGAAAACAATTTAAACATAACCAGACCAATTACACTTCTAGAGGTGACAAGGAAAATCTTCACAAAAATCTTAAACAACTGACTGGCAAACATACTCTCAAAATATCAGATTCTATCACAATATAATTGAGTGGCTCTTTTAAGATCAAGTACTCAAGAACCTATTTATATACTACAAGCAATAATAGAAGATACAAAACAATTCAATTAACAATTACATATCTTAAGTCTGGACATGAGCAAAGCATATGACTTAGTATATTTCCCAGACTTATTTCAGCAATGGAAAGACTCAAAATTCCTAGCAACTTTACACAAATAATTTCAACATTTTTGACAATAGAAACAATACAGTCATTATACTATTTGACTCCACAGATCCATATCAAGTTCATGATGAAATAGATCAAGGAGATACAATCTTATCACTACTATGGCAAATTTTCTATAATCCTCTAATTACACAATTAGCCAATAGCAACCTAGAATATATAGTCCAAATATTCATACAAACAGACATTAGAGAAACCCTTCAGCTGATAACACAATCCACATCATGTATAGCATATATGGATGACACTACACTCATTAACAATAATAAAACAAATCTTCAAACCTTAGCAATATCTGCAATGAGTTATTTATATTTAACAATATTTATATCAACATTGACAAATCACACCTTATCTCAATTAACAAAAAATAATAACAGCTTTTTATATAATTACAAAATCAAATCATTTATCCTTTACTGAAAAATAAAGCAATCAGAGTTTTGGGTGTCTGACACAATGGCAAAGGAAACAAAAAACATTAAGAAAATCTTGTTTATACAATAATAGACAAACTAGTTACATTCTCAAAAAGTAGATTATCACAGATAAATAACTTTGCTATATTATTAATTATATTTATATCCTCAAAATCATATATCTTCTCAATGACATGACACTATCTATCAATATATGCAACAAAATTAATAGCAAAATTAGCAAAGTCATCAAATACAAACTAGATCTGGCAAATATAACACCAATAATACAATCTATAATTCACTGGAATACAGTTTCTTTAATATTTGGGACTGACAAATAATCCATCATGGTATCAATTGGAACTATAGAATCAACTTATCAAATTATACTAAAAAATTAATTTAAATACAAATACAAGAAACCCAAAATTTATACTAGTCGACAAAACTCTTTATCTTACTATCTCTTACACACCCATTTCTCTCCAAAGGTAAAAGTTTAGTACATAATATCACTTTTCTTCTGAGACAATATGGCTTTACCTTTTCAATACTATACATTATCACCTTTAAGAAAATAGACACTACCATTGAAAAAACAATGTGTAGAAAATGGTTTTTCAAATACAAAACACAACTTTAAAAAAATCAAATTCTATTTCTAGGCCAATATTTTAACGCAAATAATATATACTTACTTCTATGGGTAGAAATACCAATTCAATCAAAAAATCAAACAAAAAAACTCCTACATGGTTTTGGAAACTCGAAACAAAACTTTTAACCAATCCAAAAACATTACGACAGATTTCACAAACAATATTAGAAAATATCTTTCATCGATATATTTAAACAACCCTACAATAAAAATTAAAAATTAAATATATAGCAACAGAACACAATAATCAAATAATAATAAGCAAAAAGGAAACTCATTACATACTAACAAAATTATCATCAAACACTATAAATTAATCTTTAACAATTCTCCACTTGAAGTATGCAAAGGCTATACAATTAATGAAAACAGCTTCCCAAATCAATATACAGTTACCCACCATATCAATCAAACAATTACTATTCCTATTCACAAAAGCCAAAAAGTTTATACAATTTACTTGCAATAACTGGAATGTGGAACAGAATATGTATGTCACCACAAGTATCCAAGCTTACTTCAATTTTAAAAACATAACACAGTTCTTAACACCATAACAAACCCAACCTATAATCAATATACATCCTACAATTCAACATCAAACACACATCCTGCAGTTCATTACATCAACACTTGAAACAGTTTGGCAACTCACCTTTATACACAACCAAATATACTCTAAACATCAAATCCAAATATACACAGATGGCTCCTTGATCAATTAACAAATGGAAATTGGTTGAACAATATATAACACATCAAACAATATAGACTTTCAAGCAAAAACCAGCCATTACCTATCTTCAACCAGAGCAGAATTGATGTTAATACTTACAGTACTGACTACAGTACTACCCCAAGCACAGTTAACAATTTTTATAGACAGTCAAGCAGCAATCAATAGTATCAAATCCATCACACAAAATAAAATCAAAATTATCAAAAAACTTAATTACCTGCTAAATGCTATTTAACAAATCATTCAAAATGATAATATCGAACTATCTCTCCAAAAAATCAAAGCACATACTGGACTGGAACACAATGAAACAGCAGACAAACTTGCAAAAGAAGCCATCACATCTAAAACACATCACTAGTCAGCATCACCAACCAAAACACAAAAAATAACTTCTTATATCTCACCAATTGGCACACATTTCAACACATTGTACTAAATTATGTCAATGTTTAAACTGCTCAATCCAACCATGTGAAGCTTTAATATTATCAAGAGCCAATAATTTGCCTAATTCTTTAGCCTTTTTTTCAATTATAAATGTTGTAACTGCATTTCCTTCCTCTCACATGTTTTTAATAAACTTTATTAATTCTTCTTCTAACTTAGGATACATAGCTTTTCGACCACGTCCATCAAGTACTTGCACATGATCTGAATTTAAATTTGGATTATTTTTAATAGCTTCAATCTCAGATTTTTGTTTTCTCCATTCTTGAACACGTTTTTGATCTATCTTATAATATATTGATGCATAGTGATTGGATGTACTCTCAACATATAATATTACTTCGAGCTTAAAGGATACTGTATAGCCTCGTTTTTTACCAGAATTGTTGTTCATAATTATACAGTATAAGAAATAAGAAAAACAATAAGGTAAACTTTATACAATTTATATTTTTCTAAACACATATATTATATTGACAAATTATATAGCCACAGATGCTTACTAACATGTAAAAACATTGAACAATATGTAAATATAAATTATTATTTTTGAAGGCAATAAATATAATTTTTCGACCCCTACTTTTAAAAGCCTCGTTTTCATTATTATCTAATTTTTTAATATAATCGCTTATAGAAAACAATGCATAAGAAAAAAATCATTTATTTATTTATTTATTGTTATGCACAAAAAAAATATGAATTAGATTCTTGTGGCTTATATATTTTTTATAAGCCCTTGTAAGCCTCAATAATCGCAAATTAATATGAATAATATTAGTTTTATTTATGATGTCACAGTAATCGGCGAGTCTGTCGCTAACGAAAGCTAAGATTCGCGTAATGATGGTAAGTGTTTATTGTTATAGGTGAGGCGGAATTGATTATGGTCGAAAAGTTGATTAATTCCCTTTTTCTTTATTAACGACATGGTTCTTTTATACATTAAATTCAATAATTACATAAGAATTGATAATGAAAAATAAAATAAACAAAAAAAAGTAAAGTAAAATAAAAATAAAATAACGAATCGCGGCGAAGCTATTACATAACACATCATCGTTTTTATCGTCATATTACATACAGTAATTCATTAATTTTACCAAGCAAAGACTATCATGTGACTTCATCCGGTCTTTCTCTGCTTATGTTATTTTTTCTATCAAAGCCTCCCACATTTTTCATGTGCGCCGTTTATTATTTCGACGTGGCTTGTTCCAATTAATGGCGCGTGATATCTCTTGGCGACTGGTGTTAGTGAAATTCGCGTCGCCATTTCCCATGTTACAATGATTAGAAGTTAATAGAAATTATCATATAGTTTGGGACAAAGATTTTTAATGAATTTTTTTTTGTATAAATATTTTCATATATAACGAAGAGTACAATTTTATATGCTTACCGTAATATGGATCGCAAGCCTTACAATTTGGTCGACTTTCAGCAAAGAAATGATTCTCACAACGTTTAAAGTTTCCATATTCATTAAAGTCTTTAAATATTCTTTATGCTCATTGTTAGTTCCCCGGAGTTAAACGAAAACCTTTTATGAAATCTTCCTTTATCAAAAGATATAAGCCGGCTCCAAATAAAATAATGATAGAAAAGATAAAATTAAGAGTTATCGCAATAAAATTGATCGGATGTCTAATGCATATGGTCCAGTCTAGATAAATTGCAATTCCTATATAAATTAAGGCGCGAATATGTATGAAAAATATGCCCATCTTCCCCGGTAGACCTGCATAATTTGTTTATGTTGAGAATGAAATAAATCCGAGACTTTTAGATCATCCACCGTATCCCTTTCATATTGAATAGCATGAGTCTCCTCCTCTGGACTAGAGGTAGGGTTGATTATATTTTCGCCACTCATGGAAACTTGACAGTAATTTTTTTTTTCAGATAAACCAATTCAAATTTTATTTTAAAATCGTAAGTTTTTAAACCCCTTCAAAAGTAACCGGTCGTGCGCGTAAGTATGTCTGCAATCGCTGATTCCTTCCATTTTTGGTTGATAACGACGAATTTTATTGTCAATGTCTGTATTGGAATATTTTGCATATAGTACTTCCAAATTCTATTGTCAATGCTGTATTTGCATATATTACTTCCAAATTCTATTGTCAATGTCTGTATTTAAATACTTTGCATATAGTATTTCCAAATTTTATTACATGTTCCAAAATTAATCGGTTAATTTAGGACGCCAAAATAAATATGCACTGCATAGCATATGTATGACAATGCATAAAAGCAAGTTTAAACGAAAATGCATAAAATTGTCAATTGAATGTAATTTATTATGATTTTCAAATTAATTGGGTTTATTTGGAATGCCAAGACAATACATGAAAATCCGTGATCAAATATGCATAAAAAAAGTAAATGGCCAATCAAAATTTTTGGACCGTATCAAATGCAGTGTGTACATTATAGCATTCCTAAACGCCAATTTGTCTCTATTATTTTATCTACAACGCTAAGTCATTGTTCTCAGCTGTCGTAGAACATCTTTTGGAATTAGTACACATAACGAGCATTAAATACACATTTTTTTTTGTTATTATTGTTGTTGTTAATTAATGGATTACCTCCCTCAAAGCAGGACAACGTTTGTCGGCAACAGTAAATCGACATTAAGTGACGATGTGATACCGTACGTTAGTTTACTTTACGAAAGTTTTTTTTTATTAAATTATTTTACATGCATCAAAGTTATCACGATTTAATTAATTTAAAATTATAATTATAATTCATAAATAAAAAATCATAAATTTAGAAATGATACGAAATGCCAAGTTTTCACACCTACGCAATTGATCGTAATGCTAACATCGCATAAAACATATGGTCACCAGCAAAAGTAACACTGATTTCTTACAAAACATCCAATATACTATATGTATTGATTACTATTTTGTATGAAAAATTAATATACTAAGTTTTGTCATTCTTCGTTTAAGAATAACATATGCATTACTGTACATCACAATTATTCTACCTTTTTACAATATTTATTGAATCAGAATAAGATTAATAATTTTATGGTTCATTAACTTAAGTTAGAAGCAACACGCAATACATAAAAATGGAAAATTAAAATAGATGGTATTTATAAAAAATGATTGGATTTTTTATTTATATTAAAAGCATAAATGCAGAAATTGTATAAAAATTACATAAATATTTTTTATTATTTATCAAGACTTAGAAAAAATTAAAATAGACAGTTATCAAAAATGATAATATATTTATTCGGTAAACAAAAGAAGTTATTAATAAAAATATACAGTGCTGGCCATAAATAATGGGAATTTTAATTTTCTAATTTTAAAGATTTTTTGCGTCATGAATATCAATCTGCATCACTACAATTTTTTTCCTTTTTTAGCTTATGTCTCCTTATTTATTAAAAAAATTTTTTTTCATGTACCGCATATTCCTATAACAGTGAGATCGTCATTAGAAATGAAGAATATTTCTCTCACTTATCAAAGAAGTGTCATCCAAGCACTATGGCATATCAATGAATGAAACCCTATCTCTCTAATAAAAAAAATGGTTTTTCTAAGATGACTATGTATAGCTATATAAAAAAATTAAAAAAAAATGATAATTTAAATCCTTTACCTTGTTTGGGATGACCTCTCAAGTTGTTTCTCAAGGAACTCAAAAATTTTAATAAACTCATAAAAAAGAATCCAGAAATTTCTGCTAAAGAACTTGTATCTAAATTAAATGCCAGTAATCCAGATCTAAAAATATTAGTGAGAACTATTAACAAGATACTTGCAAACCATGTGTGAATGGTTACAATTCCTAAACAGTAACCTCTTCTTATTGAAGAACATAAAAATTGTTACTTAGAATAGGCTAAAGCTTATGTTAATCAAAAATGGAACCAAGTTGTTTTTTCTGATGAATCTACAGAGGGTGGACATATTATTGCGGACACTTAAAAAAATTTTTTTTAAAAAAATTGTACTTAATAATTTTTTTTTTTTTATAATAAAGTTATAAATATATAACTAAAACAATATGTTTATTTAATATCAATATTTTGTTGACCCTTCTTCAGCCGCAATTCGTTGTGGCATACTTGCGATCAACCGCTGACACATCAATGGAGATATGTCATTCCAACATTTTTGAACAATTTGATCCAAATCAGTAAGACTTGCGGATTTAGCTTGAAAAACCTGTTGTTTAACAATATGCCACAGGTTCTCAATTGAGTTAAGGTCTGGACTTTGAGGTGGCCAGTCCATAACCCGAATTTTATTAATGTCAAGAAACACCGTGGTAATCTTTGCGGTGTGTGGGGGTGTGTTATCATGCTGAAAAATGGGATGGCCACTGTAAGACCAATTAGGAATATTATCGATTTCCGGTAAGAGATATTCTTTAAGTATGTCGACATAGGATGCCGCTATAAAAAAAATTTAAAAAAAAAAATTTAAAAAAAAATTTAGAAAAAAAAAAAAAATTCGTTTCTTTTTCTTTTCGCTTTCGCTTTTCTGTCTCCATTTTCTGATTCTTTTTTTTTCCACCTTTTTTTTTCATCATTTTTTTCTTCATCATGCCTGTCTATATATATCTCATCCCTACTTTATTTTTTTTTTTCCTTATCCATCTACCCTTTCTCCCGCTCGTCCATCCACCCTTTCTCCTGCTCGTCCATCCACCCTTTCTCCCATTCATCCACTCTCTCTCACATTTGTCCATCTACCCTTTCCCTTATTCACTATTCACCTTTTTTTTTACCTCTTTTTCATTTATTTCTTCATTAATATACATACTCTTTATCGACTTATATAGAGGAACTAAAGGGCCGACTCCGAACCAGGAAAAACACCTCCAGTGCATTCGACTTGGGCTGTGTTTGATGGTGGTGACCAAACAGTCAAGATCCCATTCTTCACTTGGTTCACGCCAGACTCGACAGTTTCGTGCTTGCTGAAACTGGGTAA